CGTTTGCACAGTGATAATCAAGTGGTGTGTTCAAAAGTGTGGACTTGCTCAATGCCATGCATGCATGACAACGCAGCACTATGTCCATGGCACATGTGCCCACGATGACCCAATTTCCGCGTCTCAGCATAACCAGGTGTCTGCCCAGCATGCCAGCATGTCAGCGTGAGAGCTTGACGTGCCCCGGAAGCTGCTCCGGAACTTGCTCGGGAACCTGCTCCAATCTGCTCCCAGTCGTTACTAAAGACCCTAAGAATCGCTGCTGGGGAAAAACTTCCGATGCAAACGTGAAGGTTTGGGGTTGGTTGCAGGTTGAGCCTGGATCCAGAGGATCCTTTGGAAACAAAGATCCTTGTCTCAGGGTGATGGTTCCTTCCGAACTTTGCTTTATCAAGTGACGGACCTTTAAAAAGAATCTGATGCGGTTCGTCCCGATGCTGTGACAGGCCATGTGAGGCGCGTGAGGCACACTGTGTGGAGCCTAGCCACATCCAGAAGGTCATTCAACCCGACAAGGTGCTCACTGAAGAAAAGCAGGGTGGCCAGGCACCAGAAAATTCCAGCAACCGATCGTTGAGAGTGGGTCAAGCCCCCAGCTGTCTTGAGCCCGGCCGAGCTCCAATTGCAAGGCCCAAATCGGCCTGGTTTGGTTGCTCAGAGTGCTCGACGGGCTCACTGTCATCCTCAGGCATGGGCAGTTCGTGGATATGCGCTAGGGCCAGGGTGTCTCCAACCAAAGGTGGTGGGTTTTCTCTACTGACACATAGGGAAACCATGCGGTCCACTGCCGGATGGGCACGAAACACTTTGGTGACCTTCGCCAGGCTCCTGCTGATTCGACTCTTCAAGGTAGAGCAGAGTCATAAATAAAACCCTCCCTTATCATCCCTTATCAAGAGGTGTTTCAATTCAAGTGGGGTGGATTCATCAATTAAGAGTCTACATTACAGTCCCTGAACCCAACCAAAAGGGACATCGTCCGAACAAGGAAGATCTCGCTCGCTCGCGACTCCAGCAGCTCCGACTTCAGACCCGGGAGCGGTTCTCACCGATCGAGGAACTTCATGGCAGGTCCTTCCCCTTTGGCCCCGTGCAGCCTCCCAAGGAAAGCAAATGGCTTTCCCAAGAAAGACGCCGCAACCTTTCTGAGCTGGACTCGGTCCACTCCGTGTCGCTCCAGCGCGCAAAGGGGGACCAGAAATGCTCCAAATCACCCCAAATTGAGACTTCATTTGCGCTTAGCCACAGCTCACTTGTGGACATTGAGCTATTTTGGCCCCCAGGAATTCATCTGGTCGGGTGGGCCCACGTAGACGAATCAGAACCTGCACCCAAGCTGCGGAGATTCCTTTGAGCTCCTCCAGCTCTTTGGTGAAGGCTGCCACTGCTCGTTCGGCCCCCCTGGGACTGGATCACATCGGCGGAACAGGACGCACTGAGCCCATCACAGTTCGTTCATCCCACAGGTGGAAACCTCGTGGAAGGCTCCCACGTGCCCAACGGCGATCACAAGCAGTTCAATCGTCAGGCCCCAGCCACTTTGCTACTGCTCAGTTGAAAGCATGAAGTTTTGGGGGAAAGCTGCAGGCAGTTTCTCGCCTTGATCGCCGTCTTCCTGGTTGGGATCCCAGACCTCGGGTCCAAGTCGTACATCAGATCCTTTCTACCAATGGATTTTGGACGGTTTATGTCAAGCACACCCATAATATCCTTCTCCACTCAATCCTGACCCCAAATGAAAGCAGGTTACACAGGTTCCATCAACCAAGCTTCCCTGCCCCCACCATTTTAAAGTCACACCACGTGAAATCGAATGGGAATCATCCAGCATCTACCTAGACCTAGAACCTGAATGACCTCTATAATGGACCAAAAAGAACACGTGCCACGCCTGGAGCGGCTGTCCGAACGCCTGCCGACCGGTCGAACGGGTGGTCTCTCATGATCTCATGATCTCTACCCACCAGCCATGATCCAAAAAGAAAAAAAAGAAAGGTTTAAAGGTCTAATAGCGATGGGCTCCAACCTACTTGCGATGGCCTCCAACCTAATAGCGATGGCCTCCAACTTACCTTTCTTCGCTGACCAGCCATGTAGTCCAATTCTTCAGGAAAACATGAACATTCAGTGGTCCATCCCTCAATAACCAAATCAATAAGCGGGTTTGCATCGCAACATGTGTGATCAGCGTGGTGTGGATCCTTGTGCAGCAACGCTGCCACCACTCACAGCACAGACATAAAGAAGCAAACGTATATTACATATGTATATATATATATGTGTGAATATATATATATATATATATGTATATATATAATTATATATATATATATATGCATGTGATATACCTGGATGTAGATGTCCGGCCTCCGCAAACGACCTTTGCGTCGGGTACGTCCTGTCAGTCAATCTGCAACTGGTGACATCTCGGAGGCTGAGCAACGCCTCATTTGGGGACACATGAGATAGGAAAGCTGCAACCTGCCTGGGCGTTTCACTACTCCTATCTCATTTCCGGGTAGTATACCATTTGCTCAAACATCTTTGCTCAGAAGGTTTCGCCGGCACGCCTCGATCGTGCCGCCGCCCATGGCGGGTCCGATGCCGCCCCTGGCACAGCTCCGAACCATTCCCGATGTCGGCCACCAAAGGAGATTAAGCACCATATGCCGCACCAGTAACTACAGTATATATATATAACTATATATAACAGTATATTGTAGTATTAGCCTTGCATTCCATGCAGAACTTCCTTGTCCTTATCCTTCACAACGCCTCCTAGTCCCGCCGTTCACTGCCCTGAGGTTCCCGGCGTTCCGGCGCGACCGGGGCGACCGCGAGCGGCGCGAAGAGCTGGACTGGAGAGGAGGGTGGCACCGGGAGGGCAGACTGGCACAAGGAGGCAGGTGGGCCCCGGTGGGCATGGCGCAAGGAGGCTTGGAGACTTCTAGGCTTCAGCAAGGAGTTGGGTGTCTGAAGAAATGAAGAATGCCTCACCCTTTTGCCCTGGCAAGACCCGCGCTGAAGACTCGCACCTCGTCATCTTTGGAGCCTGCACACCCAAAAAGAGAGGACTTGGGCGGGTGGCCACTGAGATCGTCTAGCTGCAAAACGGTGGAAGGTAGCTACGTGAACCCTCTCTCCTGGGAACGGACAGGCTGAATAGATAGATATGAATAGCTTGAATAGCTGAACTTGACAGGGAGGATGAAAGCGGGCATTCCACTGGCGCGCCTCCACGCTTTTCAGCCGCATACTTTAGGAAGTCTTCCAAGAATTGAGTAGAATGCCTGAGGTGCAGCCCCTCGACAGCTTACTGCAAAACTTGCCAGTGCCGCAAAAAATGTCGTTCCAGTGCCAACCTATATACTTCGTGTCACAGGTTGATAAGTGGTAGTTCTTCGTTGCCTTTCCGGCCGAGGCCTAAGTCACACACTCACGCCGTCTTCGCTTTCAGATTCTGGACTGAACACACAGATCCGGCCGCGATCGCACCTAAAACCTGTCCCATCAGACAGCCTTGCTGGATCGTAGAAGCCATCCCCATGAGAATCGCAATAGGAGCGCCAGGTTTTGGCGAACGGCGCAGATGCTCTCTGATTGCTTTTCACCTGTGCCAGCGCCCATGCTAGGCAGTTCCAAATCTTTCCCAGGATGCTCAATGATCTTGAAGTGCAATCACGGGCTTCTCTTAAACTTGGAATGGACACGTTCGGTCGAAAAAACAAGGGCTTCGGTGTGGCAGCTGACTGGTCGAAAGAACTGGGACCCTTCCCGCCATTGGCTCCCTGAAGCCTGATCCACCAAGACTCGACGATGCTGGTCGGACTCATCCTGAAAATGAGGAGAACTTGCGGCTTCGAGACATTGCCATTTGCCATCGTCAAAAGCTGGACTTATGCCGCGGGCCATGGGCCAAAGCCAGACCCGAGCGGCTGAACCAGACCAAACCACATAATCACTGTGAAGTTATAAATCTACATGATATGCGTCAGGTGCCCCACATGTGCCTTCTCATGGACCGCTCTGACCCCAGCGATCGTTTTTGAATGTCTACCTCCACTGCAATCACTGTACATGTACAAGGGGAGCGAGGGTGAATCGCTCAGCCTGGCAATCGAGTCAGGTAGGAAATTAGATTTGGTTGGGCCGTGCCAGCTGCTGGCACAGCGTAGGATCAGCTCATAAACAAGCGCATAGGCAGTACCGTAATGCTGCTAAATTGTCCCAATTGCACTGGCCAGGTTCAACCAATCAACATGAATGATATGTTCTTCTCACCCGGAGTGGGATGTTCATCCTCCACATCTCCCCACGACAAGTCCTTCTCGCTCATGGAGTCCTTCCTTCTGGCTGCGCGTTCAGCGCGGTCGCATCGGCAGGACGGAGGACTCGCTTCAACTCGGGCGAGGCGGCGGAGAACGGTCGGGCACCCAGGGGCGATGCTGAGAATGAACGGAGTAAAGGTCTAACTCAAAGGAAGGATCAGGCAGGGCCCCTAATTATGTCAAAGTTGCACCCTCAGATCAAAACGAGAGCATTAGCCTATGTGAGAAACTTCAGAAAACTTCCAAAAATCAGCCAAACAACGCGCTTAAATCCCTCCCAGTGTACAGAGGACACATCAAATCTATTTGTTTCCATTCTCTCAATCTATCTGCTGTAGTCTTAAAACTCCGCATGCCGGACGTTCCTTCCGTCGGCCAAGGCACTCTAAAAGGGACCCCTTCCGACATCCGAGGCGCTGTCTGAGTGCCAATGCCGACAGCTTGATCACACGTGCAAGACATGCTTGAGACTTGAGCAGCACAAGCCCTTTCTTCTAAAAACACCTTCAGCAGGAAAAGAGTCCAAAGAAGAACACCAGCCGAGCGGTGAGGCTCGAGTGCGGCAGAGCAACTCACGCATTCTCACTCTCTCCGCTGCTGGTACACTCATGACATCGACAAGTCCCCGACTCATGGGTTGGGGGCGGGTTCGCTCTCGGGTTCTCTTTTTGTGGAGGGATCAGTCCAGTTGCGGAAAACATATCATCTGGATAGTCTGGCTGCTGGCAGTCTTGAGTTCAAGAAGTCTTGACCTGTCTTGAACTCCTTTTTCCTCTTCAACTCATGGCTGCGGAGGCTCCGACATTCCATTGAGCGCCCGCTGCAGGGTGTCCCTTGCTGAGATGAGCTCAGCTGTAATGCTGCCCCGGCGGATCTGGTAGTCACCCTGCAGTGGCCACCAGAGGCTCGACGTCGGGCGCTTGGGCAACTGGGGTCCAGGATGAAGACTGGAGTGGATCTACTCAAAAGACCAACGAGTGGAGAGGATATTGGTGACCCCAGCAAACCTTGGCTGAGGACATCATGATCGGTCGGGTCTTTTTGGGACGGGTAACCGGGTACCCTACTATGACTATGAAACTATGTACCATTGATTGGCCTATCTTTCCACTGCGCCAATTTATCCAACCACGGGTCTTTAAAGAAGACCCCTCCTTCGCAGAATTCGCAGAATGAACCAGCATGTCGCATGCCTTGGAAAGACACATTGATCAAGGAATGAACTCCCCATTGGCCGAGTGCTACCACCCACACCCCGAGGCCGCATGGTCAGCTGCAGCAGAGACCAAGCGACCCAGCGACTCGGTGCGTCGTGCCCGTTGAGCGCCCCACCTTGAAGGGATAATTCACATCCACCGCCAGCCGGAAGAGGGTCAGGAAGGCCAAGGTCAGGGCTGCGAAGAAGCAGCGATCTACGATGGAATATTCACTGTTGGGGTCTGCAGCTTCGCGGAGTGCAAAGGAGATGGAGATGAAAATCGACAGCAAACCTGGAAGGACTTGGGATTCAGAGAAGACGGAACTTAGAAAGAAATGAACGGTTCTTGGGACTTGGGAGCCCAAAAAAATCCAACACCATGCCTCTTAGGTCCGACTCTAAGACTGCGTTCTCAATTCTCAGCCCAGGTCTTCTGGGGCAGAAGGACCGCAGAACCTTCAATTGGTCAATGAAACACCAGCAACCCACAGTTATGTTGCTTTCAAGAGTTGCCTGCCCCGAAGATCAATTTGTGAACATCTCAGTCTGTACCAAGGTCGTTTGAACATCTCAGCTGCCAACCCCCCATCACGTCATCATTCCTCATCAAACCTCATTCCAAGTCGACAAAACCTCTCGCCAAGTCACCGAAGGTCCAAAAGAAGGTCGGAGGAAGCACCAAGGATTCCCTGGACAGCCGACCTGTTCGGATTTCCCGTGGAGGAAACCACGTGCAGCAGAGTGATCGCACGACCCCACTGGTCGCGAGAAAACGATCGCAATCGGCCGGTGGGGCAGGATCTCAACTCCTTGTATGGTGCCAACTGACCAGAAATCGACAACCGCATCAGCTGTTGAGGGATCACAAGCGTAAAACATGTCCCTGTGTGTCTAAAGCAATTGATATACTTCGTCACAACCGGTCAGAATCCTAAAAAAATGCGCGTGGTGCGTCTAACATCTATACTCTATGCTACTACGTTCTTCCGCGATCTGCCACAGGTAAGTCCGAGCAAGAGGGGTAAGCAACAGGATATCGAAAATCCAAGCCTTCCGCAGCCCCACCACTCCCAGAGCCTGCACCTGGCGCGCCTGCACGAAAGTCCTTCAAGGTGTTCACCATGGTCATGCAGAGCTGCAAATCCTGCTCATACAATGACACCTTCTCGCTCCAAACACCTTCACGGCGCTGTCGCCCCCACTGCAGCAACGCCACGCGATAGTTGGAGATGCCATCCTTACAAAAGTCACCGCAAACAAAATCAAGAGGCTTGAGATCGTTTTTTTGCTTTCGGAGTGCCTCGGCTCCCCCAGACCCTCAGAGCACACTGAAACCCACCGATCTGTCCGCGGGGCGCTCTTCTGCCGGCGCTCGGCGATGTCCAGCAGCTCCTCGCCGCGCGTGCTGAACGCCAAGCGCTCCGAGTGGTGCCACAGCGCCTGGCGTCCCGTCCGGCAGGAGGGCGACGGGTTTCGCTTCGCCAAAAAAACAACACCCCCTCTTGGGAACATTGTTGAAGAGTGAAAATGTGTCCGTGTTTTGCGGTGTAAGTCTTCAGGGAGATTCTGTCGCCTCGCTCGCTTCCACCTCGTCTCGTTGTTTCAGGATGAAAGGCGGGTTGGTGGTAAGTCATTTGCATGAGGACGTTCACGCCGCTGGTCCATGTGGTCCACTGCCCTTTCAATAAAACACATGCACTACGTTCACTTCTTGGTGGTTTCTCCGCCTGGAGCATGAACCATTGTGAAAAAAAATCACTCTTCTACATGTGTCTTCAGTCCTGGCGGGCGATCGCAAACATGAAACCAACTGGCTCCCTTTCCGAGCCATGCAGATCATTTTGCACCCTGTTCCGCCGGGCTCGCAAAGGGGAAATGCAGCCCTCAGCCAATTGAAGCACCCCCAACGTCCAAAGCCCAGACACTATTGAAAATTGTGCGCAACATCCACCAAACTGCCCCACAACAAGAGCTGCCTCTAGAGCCTGACGCTCCAGACGTTCCAGTGGTTTCCGAGCGGTCTCGGGCAAAGTGTCCTCCAGGAACATTTTCCCAAAGTGATGTCCAACACATCAACATGAGGCAACTTAAAACATCTCATGAGACAGGTGGAGAGCAGGTGCCAGCGTCAAGTTCCTTATGATTTATTTGATGCCCCCGTCGAAGAACTCACGCTACACCATTTGTCATGAAGACATGGCTAGTCACTACTGTACTGCGCTGTGCAATGACATGTTCGCTGCAAAATGTGCATCACCCTCGCCCTTGCCTACAACTTGCACCGCGGCGCGGTGCGTTCAAGAAATTGTGTTTGACCGCGTCCTTCTTCAAGGACTCGAAGAGTTCCACCGTGTGCTCAGCCAACGAACTCAAAAGGGCACACTCCCTCCTTAGGCTCGACGCGCGCGACACGTCGGGCGACGGTGACGCTTGGAAGCATGAAACAACGAGGATATACAAAATGCTACCAAAACGCCAAGAGTCACGCAATTAGTTTGAAGGTCTGCAAGCCTTTGAATTTGGAGTGTCAGTGTCACACCCGAATAGCTTCCAAACACAAAAGTCTCGACAGTCACGAAGTCCGTCACCACGTCTGCTAGTTCATCGGCACTCTCACCTTCATTCAGCTGCAGGACGTACCGCAAGAACCGCACAATTCCAGGATACGCCAAGAAAGCCAAAATGAATGCAAAAATCCGGTACAGTGGACTTTCCAATGACGTGATCGGCACATTGGGCCCGAACTTCCTGGACAGATCTTTGAGGCCAATGGGGGCGCCTCGATAAGCAGCCTTCACCGCATCACCGGTGGAATATTGCCGGGTTTGCTTGAAGATCGACGTGTCCGGCTGGAAGAGTTTGCTGAACCAAGTCGAAGGATCGTCATTCCACATAACTATGCAACGTGCTCGCGCAGCCTGTTTGGAGGCTGTGAGACAACGGCCAGCCAGCGAGCATCGCGTCACCAAAACAGCGCATGAGACACAAGCTGACACACAAACCCGGTGTGCCTGCGCTTTGGCTGGAACCCGTAGCTGCCATCGACGGGGTCTCCGTGCGCACGGCCGCGAATTGTTCGAGAGGACAAACCGTTCTGAAGCCGGGAAGCGAACAATAGGCTCAACCATGGGTCTTCGGCTGGCCGAGTTTCCAACTCCAACCGGCCAACGGTGGCGCGATCATGATGACTTGAATCTTATGAATGTTATGTCCCCGCAAAATGTTTGGGTGCACAAATCCAAAACTGCAACACTTCGCAAATAGGCTGAACTTTGCCGAAACATTGAGTTTTACAAGTGTCCATTCCATCTTTTGTAGCACCTACCCCGCCGACTTCATTCACAGCACTTGGGGTGCTCTACGGCGTTTCCGTTGGTCATGCGCCGGTGGCGCGATTACATCGAAGCTCGAGGCATAACGGCGGCACATGAACAATCACAACTCCACAACAATGCCTAACTCTACCCGACGTCGGTGGCGCCCAACAAGCTGTCACCAAGCAACCACCTAATGACCACTTGTTTGAACGAACCCCGTCGGTCAGCAACATTCCTCCTCGGACCCGAAAAAAAAGAGAGCTGGCCGCTGTGGGAGTGCACTTTTTTCCATGATTTGTAGCTTCATCTGGATCATCTGAACCTAATCATCTTTGCAAAATGTTCATCCACCCGCGTTTTTTGCACTCTCTACTTCAAAACCTTCTATTTGCTGCTGAAATGCTGAAAATTACAATATAAACAAGCAATCTCTCTTGCATTGATAGGCTTGTGAAAGATGTTCTTTTGTAAGCATTGATAGGTTTTTGAAAGTTGTTCTTTTGTAAGGTTTTGTTCTTTATGGTGAATGATATCTTTTTAATATGGTTGTGAAATTTGTAAATTTCATGCTCTATATGCAATTGGTAAACATATTTATTCATTCAATTATGAATCATAGAAATGATTAAATCCATAAGCTAGGTGTTTACCAAATAGTCTCCATGCAAAATCATATTTCTGTCTTTTAGAATGGGAATTGTATTGCTCTTATTAAATGCAGTTGGGTAAATACATCAGAATTAGAAGGCAAATAGTTATAAATCCTAAATAACTAAATTCTATTTTAATTCTTATTCAATTCAAATTCAAATCTATATGTAAATTCAGGATCAATTCTATTTCAATTATATTTCAATTCTATTTTGCTTCAAATTTCCTTCATTGGGGTTCAATGCAAGCCAAATTATAATTCGATTTTACCTTTAATTTCATTATTATATAGTTTAGATTCAATTATAATATTTCATTAGTGTTGAATTAAAATTTGGATTTTATGAAAACCTTCTAGGGAATTGATCTTGCTTTGAACATAAAGATTTTGAAATTTTTCCAATATGGAAGTATATTCTTTCTTTAATGAAATATATTCATGCCACCAATAATATTCATTCTCTAGAATGGAAGCAAAACTCAATTAGAATTCCATTTGCATTGAATTGGAATCAAGTTAGAAAATTAGATATATAGGTCAATTGAATTTAAGTTGTATAAAGACGTTAACATTAGAAATCATTAACAAATCAATTGGAATAGACAAAATGACAATGTTTAATGCAAAACAAAATGAAATAGAAGTAAATGAAAATAGATTGGAATTAAATTGGAATTGAATGAACAATATTAAATCAAAATCCATTATTCAAATTGCAATTGACCTAGACCTAAGGTAGAATTGAATTAAAGATATTTAACCTAGGAATTAATTAATAGAACAATATTGCAATATTGATATAAAATTAGGTTACAAATAATTCAATTTAATGAAAATTGCAAATTTAATTTGAATTCCAATAAACAGAATGCAAATATATTCGATTTAGAATTAAATTCGAAATATGTTGCAAATTCACATATAAAAACAATTTGGAATTTCATATTAGATCCAGAATAATCAAAGATAATTACAATTACAACAAAATTAAATTAGAATAAAATTGAATTATAGTTTGATTATAATGTATTTTAAAAATACATAAACTTAATTTAGAATTTAATTGGGTTCAATTCAGAATTAAAATAGAAGTCTATTACATATTCAAAACAAATTCAATTTAAAATTCATTTAGATCCAATTTTATTATCAGTAAAAATAGAAATGAAACACATTCAATTAGAATAAATATTGATTTAGAATTTAGTTAAATTGTATTTAAGTCAAATTTCATAGAATTAAATTAGAATTGAGTTAATAACTAGGTAGAAATGAATAAGAAATAGTGTTTATTTCTTTTTTAGCAGACCAGCCAAAAAAAATTCAGACCCATGGAGAGGGACCCAGGAGAGATTGGACAGAAGACATAGGTCCAACAAGTTCAGACTCATGGAGGGGGACCCAGGAGAGGCTAGGCGGCTAGACAGGAGACACGGGTCTGATTTTTATATTTTTTTGTTTTTGTTTTTTTTGGTAGACCAACGAAAATACAAAAAAATCAGACCCAGGGAGAGGGAACCAGGAAAGGCTAAACAGGAGACAACCAAAACTGCAGACCACATGTCCACAGAGTCAGACAAGAGCCCCAATGGGGTCTGCAGTTTTGTTTTTTTGTGTTTTTTTGGATTTTCGAGGTTTGTGCATGGTCTGCTCCAGATGGCCAGAACCTCGAAAATCCAAAAAAACAAAAAAACAAAAACTGCAGACCACATGTCCACAGAGTCAGACAAGAGCCCCAATGGGGTCTTGCAGTTTTGTTTTTTGGTGTTTTTTTGATTTTAGATGTATTTGCATGGTCTGCTCCAGGTGGCCAGAACCTCGAAAATCCAAAAAAAACAAAAGAAAACAAAACTGCAGACCACATGTCCACAGAGTCAGACAAGAGCCCCAATGGGGTCTGCAGTTTTGTTTTTTTTTTCGGATTTTCGAGGTTTTTGCATGGTCTGCTCCAGATGGCCAGAACCTCGAAAATGCAAATCAAAAAAAAAACCAAAAAAAAACTGCAGACCACATGTCCACAGAGTCAGACAAGAGCCCCAATGGGGTCTTGCAGTTTTGTTTTTTTTGGTTTTTTGGATTTTAGAGGTATCTGGTCTATGTTTTTTTTTTTTTTTTTTTTTTTGTTTTCTTGGTTTCACAGGCATTGCAATCTTGTTTTTGTTTTTTGGTTTGCATGTGTCTTTCGGCCTTTTCACACAATGTAAGAGACAGATGCAGTGAGAGACAGATGCAGTGAGAAACAGATACTTTAAATATTGCAAATTTGCGCAAAAAAACGCACTCCCGTGGTGGCCTGTTCCGGGAAAAAAAAAAAGGTCGCGCTGGCTACGAATCAAAGCGTGCAAGAAAAAAATTTGTCGAACCGCGCGAAAGCATCGTCAAGAGCGCCCCACAAAACCTGAGAAAACGCTCCCCAGCCACCCAGTATGCCCAACTAACATGGACTGAAATCTCGGACCGAAATTTTCCACCACCAAAAATGCGATATCGACAGCAACTACTGCCCATGTATTCCCCCTGCGCGGTTCGGAGGCGCCATGGGTTCAACCAACGCAAAGCCACGCGAAGTCAAGGTTGCATTTGTTTCGCCCACGCCATGACATAAAATGATTTGTGGAAGATCGACAAGCAGAGGCGTTGGCATTGCAGTGTCCCACTCGTGTGAGAGAAGGATGACAAATGTGAATTTCCATGCTTATTCGGATCGTCTCTGTGCGCTACATTTTTCCATGGGCAACTACGTTTTTCGATTGTTTTCGGTGTATTTTCCAATCTCCTGGGATGCAGAGGGGCAAATGGACAATTTGTATGATGTGTTGGCCCTCGTTGTTGGGAATTGTTGCCAGGCTGGTGCCGTTCCTACAGTGGCCGGTGACTTCAATGCTTCTTTGGGATCCCGTCTTTTGACTGATAATGTTGAAACACTAGGTTTCTGTGGCGTCGGTGTTCGAAATGAAACAGGATGGATGCTATCCCAGTGGGTTCATCAAACAGGTTTGATTGTGCAAAGCTTAGATTTGCCGACGATCAATGGACGGAATGCTCGTCCAAATTGATTTCATTTTGACAGCTGCACCGTTTCGGTTGGTCAAATCCTGGTGTGACTTTGCGTTGCCGGTTGGGTTGGATCACAGATGCGTTCACTGCATTCTAGAACGGGCATCGTGTTCTCCAAGGCCTGTGCCCCGAAACCATCGTTTCAAAAATTGGAAGCCAAAACGTGATCAGAACAAACTTCCATCTTCATACCAGGCGTTCATTTCGCAAGAATTACTGCGGATTGGAACACCTATATGGCACAAGTTGGAGGACATTCTTTTGAATGCCGCTCGTGTTTTCGGAGAACCTCGACCGATGAATATACACTTCTCACCGTCCACACAACTACGAACTCTCCGATGTGATAGGAGACGCGCAATCATGCCAGAACAACGGAAACATCTTAGTTGGCAAATCCGAAAATTGCACCGCTCGGAACTGAAAAACTGGAGAGCAACTCGGCCCGCCATGTATTGCAGAACAGTTCATGTTGGAAGGACTTACGGAGGCAATTGTCCTCACTTTTCGCCCGGCACCTGGTTCAACAACCACTCACTGACGAATTTGTTGATCTCTTTGAATTGGTTTTGGTTGGCCCCGTCCACGAAACAGCATTGCCAGAACGTTTGGGTGAAGTGGAATTTACATTGACAAGAGTTGCCGCAAACGATCAGTCGGTTGAAAGTGAACAAGGCCCCCGACACTGTCGGCATTGCAGCGGAACTGTTGAAATTTATCCCGGATGATATCTTACAGTGCCCTTTAGGTATTTACAATTTCGTGTCGTTCAATGGTTCGGTGCCACCAATGTGGAAAGAAACGGTATTTGGAATGTTGCCAAAGAAAATGCGTGCCGTTCAGAAATCAGATTTCCGACCTGCTGCAAACACAAGATTGTTTTACAAAGCTTTCGCGTACATGCTTTTGGGGAGGATGGAGAACACTTCGGATCTTCATCAGCCAGAGGCGCAGCACGGCTTTTGTCCAAACGAAGAACATTTGGTGTCTGCAGCCATGTTTTTGGATAAAGGATGGGCATCTGGCAAAAAAATTTGGGTTGTTAGCTTGGATCTAAAGCTTTCGATCGTGTGCATTGGCCCGCCTTATGGACAGCACTGGAAAGACAAGGCGTTTCTCAACATTTGATTTGGCTATTGCACAAGCTTAACGAAAATCAAACTGGGGAAGTGACAACCG